TCTTTTCCTCCAGGAGTTACTGGCTGGGTGATGTGATGTGATGTATGTGGATCTGCTTCGTAGGGTTTGTTACTTCATGCCGGTGCCACTCAGAGCCACTGGAGTAAATCTGATTTAATGTTTCCCATTATTGCCTTCTCTGGGCCTGTCTGTGGGATGATGTATGCATGATGAAGGAGAATGAGAGACTGCTTTCATGTTTGTCTTTCATTCACTGAAATGCTCTCCAGCCCAATAGTCTGCTGGCATCCATAAATTCCTACACCAAATATCTTGCAATGTTGTAAATATGGGAGGAGGGATCTTACTTGTCATTGCTCATTTAACCTGTCTCGTACTTTTGCCCGTGATCTTGCTCTACTGCATTTCTACCTGGGCTTCTTGTCCCGAATAGTGGTTTCATCTTTTGCTATTCCTCAATAAGTCTACACAGACTTGTATGTGTGACTGGTCATATTAGACCACTACAATCTAATTGTTCTCGGTGCTTAGTCTGTCACCAATGAGCTCAGGCTCAATTTAGCTGAAGTTACTTTTCTTAGTCAAGTTTGAAATACATGCTTAGAGAATTACATTGTGCGTATGCGGTAGTAAGATAGCATCAAATGGGTTGTGAATCCGGCAAAACTTGTAACACATCTGCATCTACATAAATATTGTACATGAGCAGAATTATTTCTCAGAGGCTATTATAGAGAAATAAAACCTATGTGCTGCTCTACCAGAGATGGCAGTAACAATCAATTGGCACTGAGACTTTAAGAAATCATTCTCAATCAGATGTTCAGTCTCCTGCCGAGCACAGCAGTCTCAGTCACTGAGCAGATCTATGCACTGTACTGTGCATTGCATGGAGGGCTCTTCATTATGAGAAATTAGGTGAACTTTTCATGAGACTCATAAAGCTCCAAAGCTTTATGAAGGAAGATGGGTACCTGTTGGACGCAGCATTAGAAGGAAGGGGTTTCAGCGAGCACAAGGTCCCTCAAGACCTGGCTGTCGCCTAATAGGGTCCATTTGTGCTCAAATGGCCTATTGGTTTCAGGCATCCAAGCTCAAAGACCTAAACTCCATCCTTTTCACTGAACTATGGCTGATCGGTGGTTCATAAACCCCTCAGAGCCATGAATGCTGCATGCCCCTGGAGGCTGGGGGGTGGCAACAGCTATTTTTATGCCCCATCCTACCTCCAAATCAGTGCCCAGGGCTGCAGCCCCCATCATCTGCCATAGTTACACTGCTTCATAAGCCTGCAGCTGGTCTCTGACTAGTTCCCTTTAGCCTGGTCTACCTATTTTTGGCCTGGTCCCTGATTCAGCAGTGACTCCCTTGGCAGAAGGTAGAGCATGGAAGCACCTAAGAGACTAACTGGTTCAGGCAGGCATGTGCTTTGTCAGATGCACCAGGTAGACTCCAAAAGGTGCCACCTTGCCCTACCCACTGCCTGACTTCTGACTAACCTGCAGACCTCATTGAGGAAGTCTTCTGACTTTGTTTCTCAACACCTGACTTGAAATGCCAAAAGATGGCCTCAAGCTTGCTTTTTTTTACCTTGGACCTCCTGGTTTCTGACTCTGGTGTGACCTTGACTGTGGCTTCTGGCTCTGGACTATTGGCTTGGTGCTTTGTGCTGCCTTCTGGGCCTGTTCTTCCAGGTTTGTAAGTATTCAGATGGATGGCCCAACTCCCATTCTTTATATAGCATCACCCCTTTGCATATGCAGAAAACCAAATTGCTGTAATCACTGAGATGTGGCTAAGAAAAGCGGCCATTGCTAGAGGAATATGTGCAAATTCAGAGAAGAACAGACTGTCCGATAGTCTGGTGAGTGGAATAGATCAAGACACGGGGGTTGGCACAGGACAGCTGAAATAAAAGGGATCTTACCAAATCAGCAGGATAATGAGCTCTGGCTAGCCTGCTTGCTGATTGAATCTTGCAAGGGATGCATATTCTTTTAAGTCCTTACATGCCTTGCTGTGCCCACATCTGGATCTGGACTTCTTCCTTCCCTCAAAACCTCTGATTTGTTCAATGTTGGGTTTTTTTTTCCAATTTGTTCTTTTTTTTAAAAAAAAAAGTGCTGTTCTGTGGGTAGTGAGATTTTCCTCTTTGCGCTCATCTTCATGCCTCAAGCCTGTTTTCCTCATCTTGATCAAACTACAAGTCTGCTGTTACCGTACATAATACCTCTCCTCTGAGGATCTAAAGTGCTCTACAAATATTCATTTGACCCAGGTTGAGGCAGGCAATAAGTCTCCCTCTTCAGCAGAGGTAGCAAGAGACTTTGGGTGAAATACTGTCCCTACTAAAAATGGCAAAACTCATTTGAGGCCGTAGTGTCAGGCAAAGATTTTCCAATTACCACGTTCCTGTATTTTTTCCTTGTCTCCTTTTTCCCTTCCCTACATGCTTGCATGCTATGTTACCATCATTGCTACTTTCTCAAAGAAAGAAAGTCTTTCTACTTACATTTGGGAGTTTTATGTATAAAGTTTTGCATATTTTTATGGGGGCATACATCCCACAGTAATAATCATCATATGATTTATAATTATTACATGATATTTTATACTATAATCATTGAATAGGTTATAACAACAAAAAATAATTGAAAGGGCTAGACATTAAACCAGTGGTTCTTAACCTTTTTTTAGACTCGAGGCACCGCTCAATAAAGTCAAGGCACCCTTGGAAAATGCCAGCTCTTTGTTTTTGTTCCTTTTTTTTGATTATAGAAAAATAATAGAGCAATGCTTCTGCTGTAAAGAACTCAGAAATACCACAACAGGTCAGAATGGTTTTAATATTATGGATTCCTATTTGAGTTTCTCTTGAGAAAAATGTTTGCATGCTTAATAGTGCTAACGTGATCAAAAGGATCGCAAGGTACCCTAGGGTCCTGTGGTACCCTAGATGAGAATCACTGCATTAAACCGAAGAGCCATGAATTTGGACTTGGCTCTGCTCAGCTCAAAAAAACATGGAGTGGTCGACTGGGATTGATTTGGTAGTATTTTCACGTGGCTATACTCGATGCAACAGAGTTGAGAACCTAGATCAGGATGCAAGTGCTGTTATGAAAACCTGGTCCCTTCCTTTGCTGTCCAAGTGGAAGGTGCTCACTTCAAAAAATCTGGCCCCAGTGGTAGGGGCTAAAAAGCCAGCTATTAGTGTACATTTGGGCTTTCTGTATATACCACTCTTAGCCACATATTTCCCCCACGCACACACGCACTCCAGCAACATTTTGGAATATGCCCAGATATCCTCCTAATCTGGCTTTAAGGTTAAGTGTTGCTGCACATGCTCTAAAGAGGGGCAAAAACTAGTCCCACACTCACTGGGAAAAAAAACCCCAACACACTACTAGAATCAGAGGGTTTATTTATGAAGATGTCTAATAGCTAATAAATAAGTTGCTCCTTTCTTCCCAAAGGATCCAAAATCCCTTTAAAAGCAGCGGGTAAATACAAGCAGATCCTGTCTTAGTGAAAGCCATAAATAAACTACTATTACTACAAACAGACTGTTCCAGATCAACTCAGAATTATTACTAATGCCATAAGTAGAGGCATTTCTTCTCTTGGTGATTGTGGTGGTGTGAGCTGTCTCTCTCTTAGATTGGGAACAGACAAGGAACTGCTTGTTGGCATTTATACTGTTCCTACTATGATGGGACGCTGATCTCCGAGTTGGATCTATGGTGCTACCGTAATAGAAATAACATTAATTTTGTCCATGTCCTCTTAATCTGATACTTAGGATCATTTAAATTGTGTCTCTGGCACAGGAAAAATGTGTAGACATTTGTTTCTGTTTCTTTCATTTAAAGAATAAAAATAGTTATATGTGACAACCAGTTGCAAAAAGTATCCTATGCTTGAGTAAGCAGACCCCAGAATTTAAAAAGGGAAATAAACATGTATATAATTTTAAAGTCCATGTTAATCCTTATAGAAGAAATGCGTTTAATCTCCCTAAGTAATTCTAATCAGGAAATGTATCTTCAGTTTAGAGAATATAATTTAGTTGTCAACCAGGCTTACTACCGCTCTAAGGAACAAAAAAAAAAAAATGCAAACATAATGTGTCATCTAGTGGTGAAAGTTTGAATTACTAGAGTCCAATATATTTTATAGGATCATATTTATCACATAGATCTGTAAACTGCTACAGCATTGTAGAATTTATCAAATGAATATATATCCTGGTCTAAATAACCTATCATCTAAGCACTCATGATTGCGCAGATCACTGCTTTAATTCATAGAGTGGCTGATGGACACAGTCACAAAGAGGTAGACTTGGTGGTGATCTGAAAAGGAGGAAAGAGTAGAAACTCTAGGTTATGGACACGTGCAAATATAAATTATGACAGGTTAAGCTCAAAACTAGTATGAACCAAACTGCATTCTTCCCACCACAGGCAAGCAAGCCTAATGGCCATGAATAACACCAGGTCACGTAGGTCAGGGCTTGCCATGAGCCATGCCAATAGCAATAGAAGTAGATACCCCAGAGTCATCTGTGGCCCTACCTCACCAAGTGAAATATGGAGTACCAGATGCAGTGCATGGTGGGGCATTTGAACCAGGGTGCCCAGGAGCCTCAAAGTTCAACTGGTTCAAAGGTCAGCCTTAGGGGTTAAAAAGGAAAAAAAGCCCTGGGATTCATGGGACAACTTCTTTCTGGGAAGGAAATGGTGCTATTTCCAAAGTAGGGGCACGAGCATGGATGTATGCTGTCTTGAACACACAGAATACCAACCACCACCAGATTTCAACATGTATCTTGCTTCCCATCACTGAATATGTCTCACTACAAGTACCCAGCCACATCAAGTAGATAAACATCATACTGTGCCAAGCCAGGTAAGTCATGATATGCCCAGGATCATGACTTACCTGCTATGTCTTGCACAACAGCCTGTGAAAACAAGGATGAGCACTTGGATGGTAGAAGCAGAGAGGCTGGCCCAACACTTGAAGCAAGCAGACCTCCACTGATCTGCAAGGATATCTTGTTTCGGAGGCTTTGACTGCTGCTTTGAGGAACACGCGTAAGTGTGCCCCGATTCATCCAGGGCTAGCTTTGCCACTGTTGGGGCATGGCTGAAACACATTTAGAGGCTGAATTGTTGGACTAGGGGAGCCTCATCTTTCCTGGGTTAAAACTGTTTGCGTGCCTGTGGTGCTAGCTGAGGTTAAAGCTGTGCAATGGGGTTTAGTAGCTCTTGGCTAACACACTGCCACTGACGCACTGTGTGGCCTTTGGCCAGGCTCATAAAGCTTAATCCAAAGCCTGCTGGAGTGAAGGGAAAGACTCCTGGTAAGAGCTAGTGCAATAAAATGTACCAAGGAAATTGTCCTGAACCCAGGAGCTATGCTATGTATTCTTGAGCACTATGTATGGGCACCTGGATCCGATCTTTAATCCATCCATGCCTTAGCTCCCCATCTATAAAATACAAGGGACCATTTCTTTTCTCCCTCCCTCCTTCCCTTTCCTTGTGTTGTCACTTCAGAACATAAGCTGTCTTGGCAAAGACTCATATTTGTCTCTCGTACACCTGACACCATGAAGCCCTGATCCAGGTGGACTATTGAAATGGTACCATATTATGAATAAGTCATGGATGGGTGAGGCAGACAATAAGTTAAGGGCTTAGCCTTTAAAGCAGAGGGAATAGGAGGGATACAGGGGAAATAAAAATTGAGAAATATAGACGAATGCATTCAGCCTTATATGTAGACCTTTTTTTCTGTCACAGTGAATGCAACATCATTTTAGCTGTCATAAAGTATACTACAGCGCTAGTTGCCTTGTAGGTCACCATGTTATCTTTGTGCTTCTAACAGGTGTCATGGCATTCAGATGGAGTAATTTGCAAACAAAAGGTTGAAGGGTCCCTAAGGAGATGGTTTCGAACTGCTCACCATCTGTCTCAAATTGCAAACACAGTATTAGATGAAGAGCCAGGGATAAAGCCATCTCTGTCTGGCACGGGGTAGCCATATCCTGACAGGGGGAGGACGGGTGCAAATCCTGGTAATAGCAGGAAATCCATTATCCCTCCTTATCTAGCTCTTCAAAGTGAGTATTAGGTGTCCTCAATCATCCCATTAATATACATCAGTTTTCCATGATTTAAGACTTGCTGCTCATACTAAACCAAGCTGTAGCATATCCAGATATTAACACTGCTGTTTGCTGTTTTGGGGGTAGGGTGATAAACTTTTTTCCCCCCCCGCAAGGAAGCATTCTCTAGCAAAGGGACACATGCAAACAGCTGGACAGATTGATGTGCATTTACATTTCTACAGAGACTAAAGCAAATAGCTCGCATTATTATTGATGGGAGTTTGCAATGTGTAGTTAATGACAATTAAATGTACTATGCCCCATACTTTCCAGGTATTCTGTTCATATACATGGAGGGTTCTTTGAATGACTCTGTCTCATATAGTAGATCCAGATGCATGTATGTAGTCAGTTGGTCTAAAGGATCCCAAGATACAACATGTCTTTAAAAAAAATCAGTATTATTTTTCCTGATTCTCATAACATTTTTGTTTGATTTTTGCCCATATCAGTTATCCTTCCTAAGTTGGCATCACCCAGGTAAGTTTGATCAGAGTAAGTGTCCAACCTCTCCCTGGTCCATACTGTCAATACTATATTTTAAAACATTGCATTCGTTTTTATTAATATCCTACCAAGGTTTCTTTCAATTGCTTCCCCCTTCCCTCCCTTCAGAGTACGTGGAAAAGTACCTGCAAATGCTAAACATGTTCTTATTTCTGTCATTTAATCAAATGTATACCAAGAAAGCCTGTCAGTTCTCCAAGCCCACAGCATCAATAATACCCAATGCAAATTTTACCATTTATTTATTTTATTATAAAATAAATTTATATTCATTGTATTTATAAATAAAATAAATTTATCTTCATTTATATTATAAAATAAATATTTATATTCATTGTATGAGAACCTGTCGGGGTTCCCTGACACGGGTCAGCATGCCTTGAACTAGGGGCTTATCAACATCTCGTTATCTTCCATTTAGTTAATGTCCTCAACCGCTGTATCATAGATCATAGAAAATTAGGGTTCGAAGAGACCTCAGGAGGTCACATCCAGTTCAACACCCTGGGCCTGCAGAACCAGCTCCAACTGTATCATTCCAGCCATGGCTTTGTCGGGCTGGGCCTTAAAAAGTCCAAGGATGGAAATCCCACCACCTCTCTAGGTAACCTGTTCCAGTGCTTCACCACCCTCCTAGTGGGAGAGTTTTTCCTAATATCCAAACTAAACATCTCTTCCTGCAACTTGAGCCCATTGCTCCTTGTCCTGCCATCTGCCCCCACTGAGACCAGCCCAGCTCCATCCTCTTTGCAACCCCCTGCAGGGAGGTGAAGGCTGCTATTCAATCCCCCTCCGTCTTCTCTTCTGCAGACTAAATCAGCCCAGTTCCCTCGGCCTCTCCTCACAAGTCATGTGCCCCAGCCCGCAACCCCATTTTCATTGCCCTCCACTGGACTCTCTCCATCTTTTCCACATCCTTTCTACAATGGGGGACCCAAAACTGGATACAGGACTGCAGATGTGGCCTCACCAGTGCTGAATAGAGGGGAAGAATTACTTCCTTCAATCTGCTGGCAGCGCTCCTACCAGTGCAGCCCAATATGCTGTTAGCCTTCTTGGCAACCAGGGCACACTGCTGGTTAGTATCCATCTTATTGTTCCCTGCCATCCCCGGGTCCTTTTCTGCAGAGCTGCTGCCCAGCCAGTTCCCCCCAGGCTGCACCAGTGCATGGGATTGCTCCCTCCCAAGTGCAGGACTTTGCACTTGTCCTTGTTGAACCTCATGAGATTTCTTTTGGTCCAATTCTCCAAATTGTTGAGGCCACTCTGAATCCTAGCCCTGCCCTCCAGCGTATCTACTCCCAGCTTGGTGTCATCTGCAGACTTGCTGAGGGTGCAATGCATCCCATCGTCCAGATCGTTAATGAAGACATTGAACAAAACTGGCCCAGAACCGACCCCTGGGGCACTCCTCCTGATACTGGTTGCCAACTAGACATTGAGACATTGATTACTACCCATTGAGCTGACAATCCAGCCAGTTTTCTATCCAAATTACAGTCCATTCATCCAACCCGTACTTCCTTAGCTTGCTTGCAAGAATGCTGTGGGAGACGGTATCAAAAGCCTTGCTAAAGTCAAACTATACCACGTCCATTGCTTTCCCATTATCCACAAAGCCAGTCATCTCATCATAGAAGTCATTCAGGTTGGTCAGACATGACTTGCCCTTGGTGAATCCATGCTGCCTGTTTCTAATCACTTTCTTCTCCTCCAAGTGCTTAGAAATTAATTCTTTGAGGAGCTGCTGTAGCTGAAGTGTTTTCCATGCTCTTTTTGGATTTCCCAGGAGCTATACAAACTGTTGATATTAGAAATAGTGGGGAGATCTGTTCCCAAACCAGTGGAGCTCACTTTTATAGCTGACCTTCGCAGAAGCAATCCTATAATCTGTTGTCTGAACTCAGTACATCCCAGGATGTTGCTGGTGTGCAGCTAGCTACCATTTGATCTTTTGACTTTTCCTGAAGATACAGCTGTCTGGCCCAGCCTTCCAGGACTGAACTTGGTGCCTTTTCTAGAAGCAGCGGTAAGAGGATCAGTTGCCATTTTTCTTGTCTTGCTTTGCAAGGCTGTATTTTTGCCATGACTCTTGAGTTTTAGCAGAGGAATGTCACATGGCATCTACTAGTTTTGCCCTTTTGTAAGCACTTTGCACGGACTGATATTTTCTACTTAAGCAACCAACCTCTTCCAGATGGCTCTGCCTCCTGTTCTAGAACAAAACTATGAGAACATCGGTTCTGGCGTCATTGTTACATCATGTGACCTAGCGGAAACCCAGGATAGGATTTCCGCAGCGACACTGGGCAATAGAAACATCGCTCACTGTGTCCCTGCTTCCCCTCCTTGCTCTTCATGCCATAAAGAAGCTGATGGGTTGAAGCCATGGCCCTCCTCGCAAAACACTTCTGGTTCACTTTTTCAGCACTTTCTGCAGAATTGTCACTGCGGTCCACCCTGGTTCATTCAGGTGAGCTCAGACTTCCCTTGACCTCGTCTGTGCCTGGTTTGTCCTCCTAAATCATGAGTGGGGGCCACAGAGGAGCTCTCATGTACGTAAGGCACCGAGTGCTTGCAGAGTGCCGCTTACGCCTACAGGTGACTTGTATTAAAGCGTGGCCACCAGATGTGGTTGAAGCTGACGCTTTAGCCAGATTCAGAAAGGGATTGGACACATCCTTGGAGAAAAGGTGCATCAGTACCTATTGAGCACAGGAGTTAGGGATACAGCTTCTGAATACAAACTTTAAACCCTGGAGGCTGCAAGTAAGAAAGCAACAGTGGGGGGAAAAACTCTGCTCATACCAGTTCATCTCCCTTTCAGGTTGCCCCTGTGTGGTACAGGAGACTGGGCAAGATGGACCTGGGGTCTGACCCAGGAAATGGCAATTCTTATGTTCCTAGTGAAACCATAGGCAGCAAGTGTGTACTAATACTTCAGGCTGTGGCTGCCATTCGCATGATTGCTAGTGATTTCCACGGTGGTAGCACCATGGGGGCAGGATGTTCTAGGCTGTGCAAGGCTTCGTTTGTCATGCCAAACTCATCTCGGGTGTTTCCAAAAATATTTTGTAGCTCCTGTGAAAGCTCCTGATGTGCTTCAGAAGACCATGCCACCTTCCCTGGAAACTGGCCTGGGACTGCCACACATGGCTGTTGGCCACTTCCTAGGCTATCCAGGTATCTCGTGGTTCATACCGGAGAGAGTTTGTGCCCCGTGGCACCAGAGTTGGAGGCAGTGGGGGGTTGGCAAAGAGCGGAGCTGAGCCAAGAGGCTGCCAAGAAGAGAAGTGTGGGCATTGCCAACAGCTAGTTTAACCCACAGCTGCTGCAGATTTATATGCCAACTAATGATGCAAAGCTCTTAATTCAGTAGCAAGGCCACAGCTTAACTTGGCTGCTGGTGGCAATCATGTAGATATACATTCCCATGCAAAAGTGCTATCACCCACAGGGAGGGCGGGCAAGGTGATGAGAGGCAGCCAGAGCCTCGGGTCCCTCTGCCTTCATTTTGGTGACCCTCTTTATTGAGCCCCCCCCCCATAACACTACTGGTATTATGCTCTAGAGATGCCTCTGTCTTGCATTTGGTTCCTTCTCCAAGTCTATGCATGTAATATCATTAGGGCAGGAGCTGATGGGAAGGGTTGTTTCTAGGCACAGTCCCAGCATGTAACAGCTTGTATTCAAGGCTGATGTTCATATCCCCGGGAAAGTTGCAAATCTCACTTCTACCCTGCTCCCAGTTCACAACAGCGCTGCTCCCAGGACTGCAGGAGCAGCAGTTGGAGAAGTGCCCTTAGCTTTCCTCAAAGTGCATTTAACCTCCAAGCATAGTGCATTCAACCTCAGAGTTGCATGTGGGGCCTTTGGGGGCTTTTCTGAAAACCCTGGAAGTCACAAGATTGGGCCACAGATTGGCCAACCCAGACCTGTGCCATATGACACTCTTTAACAACTGGTTTTTTTTTAATTTTAGGACATGCAAGCAGTGACAGCCTCCAGAGTGATACCAACCTCATGCATAACTTAGAGCCACATCCTTTGTTCAAGAGAGCAAGCAACTGGAATAAAGGTTCATGGTTTTGTGGGGGCTATTTTTCATAAAAATGATTAAGTTGTTTTCTTCAAATGAGCTTTCGGTGATTCTGGCACACAGTCAATCCCAGATAAACTAGCCTTAAGAAAAGCAAGGCAGCTGTCACCTGTTGGAGGGTAAGGACTGAAAGGCAATTACATATCTTGCTGACTTTAGCAGCTGCTTCCATTGTAGAAAAGGAAATTGGAGAGAGGATATTTAGATGATCTTGGATGTTTTGAACATTAAATGCACTGAGCCTTTTAACAAGTGATCAATATTTCAAGACCTAGATTTGAAAGAATCCATATGGGTCTTCATTCAGAATTACCAGCCATAATGCTGATACCATCAGGATAGCCTGTAGAAGCCTATTTATTAAAATCTGAGTGGGAGAAAAACTTGAAGAGAAGGGTTGACTTAAAAAAAAAAAAAATCAACACCTGGAATTTGGTTCAATACATTACATGAATAAAAGTCACTCTGATTTTCATGTATGACTGATGTGGTCCAAATAATGCCCCATCTTTCCTCCCCTTCCAACAATCCTTGGATGTAGGGGCAGTGTTGAACTGGCTCCACTTGCCCCAGCCTCAAATAATACTTGGACAGTCTCCGGCTTTCCTAATTTATGGAAGTTGGCATCACTTCCCAAGGAACTTCTTAGCAGCTGAGAATTGCAACAGGCCTGTGGCTCAGATCAGGATTTGATCCAAGTCTCATAAGCCAGGGGGTTGGGGTGGCTTGAAGGAAATTCTCAGTCTAGCAAAGGGCCAGGTTTCTGGGCCCTCTGTGCTCCCCAAAAACCCAAAAGGGCTGGAAGGGAAGAAAGTTTTGGGTGTGACATCTCTGAATCCCTTCAGCGGTTGAGCAAGGGCTGCATATCCTAACCCATAAGTATCCACAGTTGTTACACCTGAAATTTTCCTACCAGTGTAGCTGCTCTGAACATGTATTGCAATAATGGTCTTACCTGGTGCTGGGCTTCTAATAGTGCTATCATCTCCTCAAGCAGTGGAAATCTCCCTAGCAGATACAGGACCTGCAAAGCTGTGTGTGTATGTAAATGGACATATTTTTACTGTATTTGCAATACTGTGTTACCTGGAACATCCAAAGTTACCTGTGATTTTGGGTTACCTTTTGACTGTTTGGAGGGAAAAAATATGCAGCAAAACTTTTTCATAGTAAAAAATGCTTGTGAAGTAACTAGCCCAGTGTGGTTTTGGTCCATGATTGGCTCCATAATACAAATAATAATTAACAAATATGCTAATCAAAGATGATTGTTTAAACCTATTTATAGTATGGCAAGAATTGTTATTCTAGCCAGAGAAAAATAATTGTTCTTCTAGCCAAAGAAAGCACATTTAAAGTCTCTTCCTTCAAAACCTATTTATGTGTATTCCAGCTGAGGTCCACATGTTCTTAGCTTTTGAAAAGCAGAATAATAAATAATTTCTGTGTGCTCACATATAAAGTTGTAGTATGTCCTTGAAATACCAGCCAAAGAAACAAATGGTTTATACTGAGAACTGGAAGCTTTGGAATTGCCTCTTCTTATTCAAGAACATTACATTTGCAATGACAACAAAGATGGGGAGGGGAAAAAGAGCCTTCATCAGAAAGCAGAAAGGAGAGTATCCTTCCTTTGTGTTTCATGTCCTCTCCCTTTAATCCCTACAATTGACTCTTGAAAAGCTAAGGGATGCCATCCAGTTAGCCCCAAAAGGGAGCATGCCACTGTTGCCCACTCTCCCCATTTCATCATGGTCTTGGAGATGCTCTTAGACCTCTGATGCTGGTGGCATGGGAAATCTAGCTTTAATGAAAATGTATTCCCAACAGTTGCAAATGAAAATGTATTCCCAACAGTTGCAAACACAGAGGGCCTATGCAAGAGCCCAAAATATTTTTCTTTTTTTAAAGTTCATGGGGGTTTTTTGAGCCAAATTTGTGATTCCTGAACATCTGGGGTTGGCAGCTCTTCCAGCGTGAAGCCAATGTCACTGTTCAAGTGTTAGAAATACATGCAAATCATTCTCAAAAATAATAATGCTATAAAAACAGGTTATATACAAGTACTGTGTTTAATTGGAGAGAGCTCAGCGTGCTCAAATGGCCTGGCATCCCCAAGGAGTTCCTATCTTGTTCTTTCAGTTCATGATGTCTGTCACTGAGATGTATTTTCTTTATGTGACATAGTGATCCCAAACCGGCCAGCCTTAGCCAAGATTGTTGTTCTCGGTTCAGTGTGCATCATTCTCGCTCTGCTGATTGGACTGGGCCTCTGGTGCTTCTATTTGTAAGTATTACAAGAAGTGTTTTAGCCCAATCAACTTGGGATTAGGGCATTTGGACAGGGAGCAGGAGGCCCAAATTCAGCTGGCAGCTGTGTGGCTCAGTACAATGGAGGAGCCCTGGGTCCTTGCGCCCGCTGTGGCAGAAATTGCCCCAGTGCTGTTTCTCCAGTGAATGCAAGGTGCAGCGGGTGTTGATCATCCTAGCGAGAGGTTCTCACTGCAGTTGTAGACCCAGTTCATAAATTGCCTCTGCTACACAGGACTGGATTTCCTACTGCTCAACACCCACAGTTGTAACTATATCTTCAAACGGACCCCAGGTCCCCGAGGTATAGCCAACGCATCAAGCTCTTTGTAATCTAGCCACTTCTGATGCATAAAGCAGAGAGGTGCTGTTTTGTAATGAGTTCATGTGCGCAGGAAACCTACTGCGCTTCAGCTCTTACCGTGCAAATCCTTTTCTGCTCTACTCTATTAATCACATCAGGCTCAAGAAAGACCAGGGCCGTTCTGTTAATTGTAGCTCAGTAGTCTTGGTGCTATTTGTGGATTTACACAGCAGAAATGTGTTTCTTGTTTCCTGGTAGCATCCAGATGAGGAAGATCAGCGCATTGACCTTTGGGGTTGGAGCCCTTGCTAAGAAGCTTCCATTTCTTAAACAAGCCCAAGGGGCTCAGCCTTGGAGCTGGGGTGCAGGAAGCAATGTGTGTGGAAGGGCAATTGGGAAGATCAAAAAGTTTGGCTCTGCAGGTATGATCTTTCTTTCTTTCCTTTCAGTAAAGATGCAGCCTGCCCACTTGATGGGCCTCTATAAGATGTGGGTTTCCTAACGGTTGAAAACCGATGCTGCTCTTCTTCTGCAAGACAGACCCTTTTGACAGGGGTATGCCAGGTAAACCTTCGTGGATTTAGTAATCGGAGCCTGTGCGTCAAGGCTGCTGAGTCCACAAGCCACGTGGTAGTGCAGTCATGCATCTTTGTTCCTTTTTTATCCTCAGAAGGACAGCAACCCCATGGTACAAAAGCCTGTATCAGCATCATTGTTTGCAGGATTGACAGCTAAGAGCCTGAAGAGTTTCTTTCCTATCATAGGCAGACAAGGTTCTTTGGGTAAATGTGATACCTTTTCTTAGCATTAATTGTATAGTATTAATAAAAGGTATCACATTTACCCAAAGAGCCTTGTCTGCCTATGTCCTTAGACCAACACTGCTACAACCAACACCTCCCTTACACCATGGCCGTCGATGTGGCTTCTCTTTTTCAGTTCTTGATGGAACAAAGCATTTAACCATGTATTTAAGCAAATGAGTAGTTTCTAAAGGTGCCAGGGTATGTGCTAAAGGACGATGCTTAATCTAAACTATCAGGCAGATTGGCAAGAGTTGGTATCCATGAAGGTTTTGGGGAGTTTTTTGGATTTCTGTATTCATTTTAAACTAATTTTAAGTGGTTGAGTATCCATGACTCGATCACGTATTGCCCTAGGCTTCAGAAGCTGGAACTGTTTGACCCACACCCTGCTGATTTTTGTGGTCAGCAGGCCACACGAGTACACATTGGCACAAAATGACTGGCTGTCGAATCCTTTTTAGTGGTCAAGTGATGTGACGGTCATCACCACCTTTAATGCTTGCGATACTGCAAGGAGGTTTCTCTCTAGCCTGGTTCTCCTGCTTATATTGCCACCCTTTACTGTGGGAGATGAGCGGAGAGGTCCAATAGACGGAGATGGTGAACTTCCTGGCGTCTTGGGTAGTTTTCAGTTTGGGGACTAAAACTCTCATAGGAGCAGATGTTTTGAAGTGCTGGGTGCCAGTGTCACGAGTGCCCTTGCTATGTTGGAAAGGCAACTGCCCTCAGGGGAGGATAGTGGGAAAATAAGGACATCTGACTTAAGAATATCAGTGATTAAATTAGGAAGAGGGAAAAAGTGACTAGCTAGAATAAGCGAACGTCATTCCAGGAGTAGAACAGCGAGCGCAGGGGGTTTATCCCAGAACCAAGTTTGCCTCAAAAAGGCATTACCAGATCTCAAGAGTGAATTTCCATTCTTTTCAATGGATTTGGTTGGCGCATCAGGGAAAAACCAGGCAGAATTTAAAGTACAGGGCTTTGATGCTATGCTGCAGTCTGCTATTATGGACCCCTACCCTAGTTGGGCACCTACCCCGGCTCTAAATCTTCAGTAAGGCCCCATGTAGACAGTCCCTTTCCTGCATCCATGACGTCAGCGGTTCCCAGTCCGTGGTGCGGGTACCACCAGTGGTATGCAGACAACCCATCAGTGGTGTGCGTTAACAGATTTATTATAATTACTTTCTATGAAAAAAATTTGCTGGTGGTACTTTAGGTTGTCTAATTTTAAATTGGTGGTGCACAATCTGTCAGAGTTTGGGAACCACTGCATTATGCACCATAAGATAATTAACCCATGAAACAATTCACCTGTGTCGCCAGCTTCACATCTTTCCTTCCTCCCCACTCCATGCATAGTTCCCTAGTTGCCCAAATGTCTGGAGCCCGGACTGACTGCCGAGCTCCTAGAAGTGGGGACAATTCAACTCCCTTCCTCTTTTCTTGCTTAACGCATTTCTTCAAATCTTAACCACTGAACTATCATATTATAGCTTTCAAACACAGAAGGAAGAAAAAGAGATCTTCAAGTGGAGAGAAAGAAGAGAGGCCACATAAGAAAAGGAAGGTAAATGTGGAAAAGAAAGACAAGCTGCCTAAAGAGAGTCAGGCAAAGGTGGAAAAGGAAAAACCACTTGAGGAAGGGAAGGAGAACAGGGAAGAGCATCCTAAAGAAAGGAAGGCAAAGGTAAGAAAGAAGCAGAAACCATGCAAGAAAAGGAAGGAAAATAGAGAAGAGCTGCCTAAAGAGAGGAAGGTAAAGGTGGAAAAGAAGAAGAAACCACTTAAGAAAAAGAAGGAAAAAGGGGAAGAGCTGGCTACAGAGAACCCGCCTGAAGAAAGCAAGGAGAAGGTGGTAAAGACAGTAAGAGTAGCAAGGAAGCAAGGAAAACAAAAGAAATTGGAAAAAATGAAGAAGGCAAGGCCCAAGCAACCCAGAAAGAGGAAATCCAGTCGGAGGAAACGGAGATGAATCACACTGGCAGTCATGACATTAAACTAAATGGAAAACTGCGGGAAGGAATACGCAGAAGGAAGGATCTTATAACCAATCTTATTATTGCCCCGTTGCATTGCAGACCAAGGCCGGCGCGTGATCCAGTAGCAGCACTGGGTAGGCAGCAGGTGCCAAGCCTGAGTGTTTCTTCTTTCTCTTCTCCCTGGTGATATGTTGTGCTGCTGGGTAAGGCACAAATGCCATAATAAACTGAGAAAGTAAAGGTAGAAATAATGATTTCTTGTATGTATTGTAATAATAACAAGTGGTACTGAGCAGGGCCCCGTTGTGCGCCAATGGGCAAGCACATGAGAGACAGTCTGCCCCAGAAATATAAGTAGAGAAATGCAAAAGAGAGCAGAGAGGAAAGAAAGCCCAGTGGTTAGAGCAATAGCTGAGACCTTCCTTTTAAATCTGTACTTCTCCACAAATTTCCTGAGTGACTCGGGACAAGTCACTTCCATTGCCTATGTGTACAATCCACACGGGGCACTGCAAATATATATATATATTGTAGATCGTGTAGTAATGGGAGGCCATAACTACCATTGATAAACTACCACTGATTAATCAGCTTGCAGTAACAGCAAGCTGATTGTCTTCTGCATGATAAGCCAGCTACCTAGTCAGCATTTTGCAGGCATTGTGGCAGAGAAGGCTGTGAAAGAGGAAGATATAGTGATTTTCAGGGAGCTCATGCCACCTGGGTGGAAATCACAAAAGACCTTGCTAGAAAATGTCCGTAGCTGGCCAGTGAACATTGCTGGAAGGTAGAGTTGATCTGCACCTTTATAACTAACTAAATAAGATATATACAGAGAGAGAGAGAGAGAGCACAAGCTTTCATGAACCTAAGTGCAATGCATCAGATGCTGTGAAAGCACTTGGAAAAATCAGAGTATAAGGAGAGGGCAATTAGACTATACAAGGAGGAGGGGAGAGATTGGGGAAAGGAGCAGTGCTAGGAGAGAAAAGCCAGGGACAAGTAAACCCACAGGAACAAAGGCAGGGGTCACAAAAGATAACCCAAGTAATGAGATAAAAAGCCATAGTCCCACGTTTAAACCACACTTAGCACAGTCCCGGTTGTGGATGATTTCTTGCTCCATGTTTCCCGCACACTGCTGTCACTGGCAGAGTCAATGAGGTTGCATGGGAAGGGGAGAAGCAGTGGTGAGTTAAACGCCAGAAAGTGAAAGGGGCTGGGAGGGGGTGCCGGCTTTAACACCAAACATCTGGGTGGCCCCGCCATCACCACCCTGGCCCCGACTACCATCCTGGAGGCCCCTCCACATTGGTGCCTGGGACTGATTATGCTATTTCCTAGAATTGCAGAAGTATAGGGATCGGGGCCACCTTAAGAGGTCATGGAGCCCAAACCCTCTGCTCAGAGTAACATTATCTCTGTCTCAGCCACCTCAGACAGATGTTTGGGGTAAGAGAAGTCTCTCCGCTATATGCTGTAAAGGAAGGTCCAAAAGCCTGGAAGAAATACAATTACTTTTAGAGTAAGTTCTTCAGAACCCAATTTAATGTGGAGCAGTGATGCTCAATGTATTGGCCCCAGGGCCAGACAGACTGGATCGGACCTCGAGCACCAGAATTGGGCCCTGGGGCCCTGCATCACCCCCACCTGGCCCCATAAGCCAGGATCAGGCCTTGCACCATCCTGCCTAGGGGCAGAGCCACAGGTCATGGATCTGTGAGGGGGCCCCACAGGGCATCAGGGGCCAGATCCAGCCCAGGCGCTGCGGGCTGAGCACCCCTGATTTAGAGGATGGATGCAGCTGGAGAAGATGAATCTGATGCCTTTCTTGCAGTAATGCTTTAGGACTTTAAATTAAACCTGACTGGCGGTGTAGGCGATCCCCCAACGTTTCTTCCTGACCAAAGTATTATTCATTATTAACGGGAAAGTGACCCTTGGATTTTGCTCTAATGCTGAACTGCTTTGCAATTGTCAAAACCGGGATTGCTAGGATTTGTATCTTAAAAAAATACCAGAATTTTAGCAAACGGGGTCTTTATTTTTAGCTGCGTTTCTCCCATAGTAAAACTCATTGAAAAGTTGCTTGAACTTGCGATCGGATTATTGATTTTTAGGTGAAATATCATGAAATAGCCGCAAGAGGTCAGCAGTCACGCATCCCAAAACATGCCGGAGTTCCCTGCCTTTGCATACTTCTGCTATCATGGGTCAATTTAGAAGAGAAAAAGCTAGTCAGATTATATCAAATACATATATTGGGGCTAATGTGAAACTTTTGGGAACCTGCAATTTCCACCTTTTGGGAAATTTGCACACTGAATTGAGAATTTTGCTCATTTTCTTGTAAGTATTTCTGACCATTTTATGGCTCAAAGAACTTTTCAGTAACATTTTGTGACATTTTCAAATCGGTAAGTTTATAAAAGAGTCATACCAGATACTGAAACAGAAACCATATGGAATTTTTGACATAATTTGTCCTCCCTTTTCATTGACCTATTTATATATTGAAAAAAAGAATTATCCCTTTGGGTGAAAACATCAATCCGCAAGTTCATGTTCAGCCATTTTTCCTCCAGGACTCCCCCAAGTTGTTTTCAGTCATTTGTTCCCAGGATACGATTTCCCATCCAGTAAGAGTTGCATTTTTGTTCCCATAATATGACTTCCCATTGAGCTGTACGGGCTATTATTGACTTTCGCCCAGCTTTCAGATGTGTAATGTATCCATACTTCTCCTCTTCAGCATTTGCACCCCACTAATCTTTGTGCCAGCCACAAACTTCATCGATAATTATTTTGTTTTCTACTAGTTCACTGGTTTAAAATATGAAATAGAATAGCAGCAAAAACGTCTTCTGCGGGCTTGCTTTAAGAAACACGTCTGCTTAATGAGGACTTTCAATTTACTTTAGCTTGAGACTCCTCCGTTGAATTTTTCCATTTTTTAAATCTATTTTTTATGTGCCGTATTGATTCCATAATGTTCTAGTTCTTTCATTAATATGCCATCCTGTAGATGTTCATCTGCTCGTCAATCATTTCACTGCTGAGTGACCTGCCGAAAACGGTGAGTCCCACACGACAAACGCATTTTCTGGATGTTTATGGAGATTTGCAATACCTGGGGTACAACATCTTTCAAACTCCTGTAAAAAGCGCAGACCTAAGGAGGGAAAAAAAATTGCTTTTCCATTTGTGCCCATGAACTGTGTTTAAAAAACATAGGCTAAATAATTAACCATGTTAGGGAATGACCTGAAGGCCAGGGGCCTCTTAATTCTCTGGTGGCCTAGGTAAAAGCACTTCGGTCCCTGCTCATTTGTTGCAGGGCAGGTGCCCACATAATTTAAACAAAGCAACAATGTTAGATCTCAGCAGGGTACATCCACACGTTCATTAATGTGCCATAATTATGGTGCATTAAGCTTAGTACCTATAATGACAGGTACGAATTAAACGCACCATAATCGGTGCTACTGCACATTAGCACAGGTGAACGTTTTTTTTGGTGACATTCATTCTCATTAGACTAAATCTACTGCTCATTAACTCATTTGCATGGGCTTTGCTCACTGTGCTAATGCTCAGTAGCATTAATTTTCTGCGCATTAAGCACCTTGCGTAGACGTGCCCGTGGTGAAGCAGAAGGTAGGGTATTGACTTCAGACAAATGCTGCTAACTGTGTCTCTCAGCAGTGAAGCTGGAGGCTAAAACATGTTGACTGAGTGAGTTTCTTCTATTAGAGAGAGTCCACGTCTCTGATAAAGGTGGGGGAGTCTCTACTAGGTGTAAGGGCTGGGTGGTATTTGCAAGAGCGTAAAGGAATCGGGGCAGAATATCATGCAGAATGTAAAACCTCTGTTTCACTAGCCATGCGTTGAGAGACCACGTTTCCCATCCCAAAAACTGCTTTTTTTTTATGTTTTCATTTGACTGTGCATCATAATCAGCTTTCCCTTTGGAAACGAGACAGCTAGGCCTCGGAACAAGTTGTTCCCCCGGGAGAAAAAGCCCGCCGTGGTCATTCATGGAGCTGGAAGGCAGAGGTCAGTAAAACACAGCGTCTCGTCTATTCTTCTGAAATCTGCTCTTGAGGACTGCACTTTTCATGCAATTAGCAGCCAAGGTTCCCTTCAATAAAGGCAATGGGCCAAGCTCCTCTGCTAACAGAGAATAGATGCTGTTGTTAGTCCTAGCAGTGTTAGTCCTGAGTAACTGTGCTGGCGTTTCTTCATTGTTACTCCACTGTAACCCAGACTGTGATAGATGTAATTGTCCTAAGTTATGATTGTACCATGCAGCCAGCAGGCTGCAATCAACTCCCTGCGTGTCAGAGAGACACGGGTGTCAGAGCCAAGTTCTGCAAAGCATGTAAGCATACAAACAGCCCTGAAGTTCAGCACATCTTTAAACTGTTGGCTCTGAAGGACAGGAAGCCTCTGTGTTTGGGAAGTGCCAAGTGCATAGTAAATACACCATGCTAATGAGAAGAGGGGATGCTAAAGGAAACTCTAAGGTGTGAAATCATCTTTGGCTTGACTTTCTATTATAGCCAAGATCATTTTGGAGAATTTGACCCCAGCACTTCTCCAGAGAGGAAAAACAAACCTGAGCATTTCTTTCAAGCTCTCTCTCTGTATATGTGTGTGTGAGTGACAGAGTATGTACATACATATATATATATATATATATATATATATAATATTCTGTAGTAATATCTATGTATCCAGGAAAAACAGACTTGAGCTTCACATATCCATAAATATAGTGAAGCTCAAGCCTGTTTTTCTTTCCTGGAAAAGTTTCTTGTCTATAAGAATCACTTATATATACTATCACTATATATATGTATGCATATGCATATATATGCATCTAGGAAGTACAACAGGTGGAGATATCTATCTATCTATCTATCTATCTACAGACATAGATATATATTATATCTGTATATCTATACCTATATATATAAGTCCACCTGTTGTACTTCCCAGGTACATATATATGCATATGCATACATATATATAGTGATAGTCCAGGAATTATGCGAGAGGCAACAATTTCTTACTGTGATATCCTTTCTTGCACTAAGTGCATAGCTGGGATAGAGTTAGACAAGCTTTCAAAGAAGAATGTTTTGCATTTGAAAACTTGTTTAACTCTATCGCAACTATGCAGTTGGTCCAGTAAAAGATATGGCCCTAAGAAATCCTTGCTTCTCCCAGCATTTGTGTGTGTGTGTGTGTGTGTGTGTGTGTGTGTGTGTGTGTGTGTGTGTGTAAAAT